GGATGGGGTCAGCAGTGTGAGTGATGAGGGGATTTATGGGATTTTTAGGACAAGTGAAGGAGAATTTGACGGGGAGTGATAGGGTGCTGAAGGGTGAATGATGAGGTCAAAGGTGAGTGATAGAGGCCTGAGGGGTCAGTTGTGGGGTGTGTGGGGTTACTGATGCAGCGGGTCTATGGAGTCAGTCATAGGGTATCTGTGGGGTGACTTAGGAGCCAAGAGGCTCACTGATGGGGTGTGTGTGTGTGTGTGTGTGTGTGTGTGGTGTGAATGTTGGGGACTCCGAAATATAGGGTGTGGCATTTGCGGGGTGAATGATAAAGTCTGTGGCTTGAGTGGTAAGGAATTTTATAGAACTAGATTGTGTCCCCTCCAAAAATGTGTATGTTGAAGCCCTAACCTCCAGGATAATTGTATCTGAGAGGAGGTCTTTAAGAGGGCAATTAAATTAAATGGTGTCCTAAGGGTGGGAAGCTAATTCAATAAGACTAGTGCTTTTATAAGAGGAAGTGATTCCAGGAGTGTGGAGCACAAAGAAAAAAAAAAGGCTGTGTGAGGGAACAGGGAGAAAATGAACATCAACAAGGCAAGGGGAGAGCCCCAGGAGAAACCAAACCTGCTAGCACCTTGATCTTGGACCTTTCTTCCTTCAGCACTGAAAGAAAATACATTTCTGGTAAGCCACCTGGTCTCTGGCATTTTGTTGTGGAAACCTGGGCTAAGACCGAGCACACTAAAGGTCTACAGGGTCAGTGATGGGACCTGTGTTAGATGTGATCTGTAGACTATAAACTGAGTGCTAGGTGTGGTGGCGCATGCTGGATTGCCAGGAGTTTGAGGCCAGCCTGGGCTACATAATGAATTCAAGGCCAGTCTCAATTATATAGCAAGATCCTGTCTCAAAAAACACCCAAATAAGTAAATCAAGAAATAAATTAGGGCCAGGGATGTAGCACAGCAGTGTAGCACCTGCCTGGCAAGTGCAAGACCCTGAGTTTGATTCCCGGTACCTAAATAAATAAATAAAATTTTACAAAGAGAAGACTATAAACTGAGTGATGGGGAATCTGTAGGGTAGTGAGGGAGGCCTGTGTGGGGAATGGCAGGGTACTGAAGAGCGAGTGGCAGGATACTGTAGGGTTGACAATGAGGCCTATGGGGCAAGTGATAGGGTCTGTAGAGTAAATAAAGATGGTCCTTGGGTGACTGATGAGGTGATTGAGGCAAATGACAGGGGTCTCCTAGGGTAAATGATAAGGCTCTGTAGGGATTATGCTAGCCTGTGAGGTGAGGTAGAGCTTTGTGATGTTAGACTAGGGCTCTGTGACCTGAGGTGTTAGTGATAGCATCTCTGTGAAGGAAGGAGGGATTGTGTGGCCTATGGAGTGGGTTAGGTGACTGTGTTGGGTTAACGATGGCCTGCGGGGTGAGAGAAGGGGGCTGTGCAGGATGAATAATGGGGACCTACACGGTGGCTTCCGCAGTGGGAATCTGTGAGGTGAATAAAAGGGGTGTGTGATGAGGGCCCGAGGGGGAGTTACAAATCTGTAGGTTGAGATGAAAGTTCTGTGAAGTGAATATTGAGGAGTGGGGTGAGCACAGAGGGATGTTATGGATTGAATTATATCTCTGCAAAGTTCACGTTGAAGCTCTTAACTATGCATACCTCAGAATGTGACTGTATTTGGTGTGAGGCCTTTAAAGAGGTAATTAAATTGAAAAGAGGCAAGTAGGGTGGGGCCTAATCCAATCTGACTCCCTGTACAAAGATTATTTTATTTTACTTTATTATTATTATTTACTTTTTTGGTACCAGGGATTGAACTTGGGACCTTGCACTTGCGAGACAGGTGGTAGAACCACTGAGCTAAACCCCCGGCCCTATCTTATTTTTAAAAATTTATTTATATTTTGGTACCAGGGATTGAACTCTGAACTTGTGCTTATGAGGCAGGTGTTGATGGAACCACTGAGGTAAATCCCTGGCCCTCCCTATACAAAGATTAGAAAAAATAAAATAATTTTTTTTTCTGAGACAGTCTTTCTATGTAGTTCAGACTGGTATTGAACTCACTGTGTAGCCCAGACTGGCGTCAAATTCATGTCAATCCTCCTGCCTCAGCCTCTTGAATGCTGGGATTATAGGTGTGCACCACCATGCCCAGGAATAAAACAAAAATTTAAAAAGAGATTAGGATAGATACATGAGCATGAACACAGCAAGAAAATGACCATTTGTAACCAAGGAGAGGTCTCATCAGAAATCAAACTTGCTGACAATGTGAACTTAAACTTTCAGTTTCTGGAACTGTGAGAAAATACAATTCTGGGCTTTTTAAATATATATAGGAAACGGGAAAGTGAAGGTTACCAAACACTCCTGCAGTGGGTCCTGGTCTCCTGCAAGTCAGTACTACATCTGAGAAATAGGAAAGAGGGAAATAAAGATAGAGATTGGAGAGAAACTGAGTCTTGGGCTGATCTAAGATGCCCCGGGCAGTGAATACAAAGGACTCCCAGGACATCCAGGGTTTATTCTTTACAAGTGTGGGAAGGGGGAAACTGGGCAGGCCTGGGGACACCTGCTGATAACAAGCATCAAGCAGGCAGGACTGTAGAATGAGGGCACAAGCATGTCTTCGGGGACGAAAATGAATGGTTAATTCAGAGGGGAGGATCTAGTTAGAGTCAGCTGACCTTGACTGGGAGTGAACTCAGCCAAGCTCTGCTACTTCCAATGTAACACAGCCGAATTATGGAGGGGCGAGGAGCTTGCGCCACTATAGCCTGCTAATACTGGGCAGAGGTGTCTGCTACAGTTTTTGAGTTAGGGTTTTGCTACGTAGTTCAGGCTGGCTTTCAACTCACTATGTACCACAGGCAGGCCTTGAACTTGTACCAGTCCTCCTGACTTAGCCTCCTGAGTGCTGGGATTACAGATATGCCACCATGGCAGGCTCTATAAATTTCAGTTTAAGCTACCTGGGCTGTGGCATTTTGTAATGGCAATCCTAGCAAACTAATACAGATTTATTATTAAATCTGGTACTAGGAAGTAGGCTGCTACTGAAACAAATATATAAAAATGCAAAAGTGGCTCAGAAACAGGGTGATGTGCAGAAGCTGGAAGAGTTGAAGGACATGTTAGAAAAAGCAAAGATTATGGGCTGAAGATATAGCTCAGTGGTAGAGTGCTTGCTAGCACACATGAGTACTTGGGTTCCATCTTCAGCACCAAAAAAGAAAGGAAGCGAGGAGAGGGGAGAGGAGAGCCTAGATTGTAGCTATGGTCTGAATGTTGGTATTCCTCCAAAATTCCTTTGTTAAAACCTAATCCCAGGGTTGCAGATGTAGCTTAGCAGCAAAGAGCCTGCCTAGCAGGCACAAGGCCCTGAGTTCAAGTCCCAGTACTGAAAAAAACAAACAATTAATTGCAGTGATAGCATTAGGTGGGCCATGAGAGCATGAAGGTGGCACCCCCACAAATAAGACTGATGCCCTTATAAAAGGATGAAGAGACTAGAGTATTGCAGCTGTGAGGATACAGCAAGAAGGTGCCATCTACGAAGAAGTGGGTCCTCAACAGATACAAAATCCACCTGCATGCCTGTAATCCCAGCACTTGAGAAGCCAAGACAGGAGGATTACCATGAGTTCAAAACCAGCCCAAGATACATAGTGAGACTCTGTCTCAGAAAAAAATATCGAAGAAACAATAAAATAGCTGGGCATGGTGGAGCAGCCCTGTAATTCCATAACGGGAGGTTGAGGCAGGAGGATTGCCAGGAGTTTGAGGCCAGCCTGAACTACAGAGCGAGACCCTGTCTCAAACCAAAAACAAAACCCCCCAAATCAAACAAAAAAAGATACCAAATCTTCCAGTGCCAATCACTAGAATTGTGATAAATTTATTTCTGTTGTTTATAAGCCACCCAATTTATGGTATCTATTTTTTTTATACTGGGGATCGAACTCGGGCCCTTGCACTTGTGAGGCAGCTAGTGGAACCAGAGTCAAATCCCCAGCCCATGATGATGCTTATTTAGGAAAGTGGGATCAAGCTTATAACATATCTTTTTATTTTTTGGTACCGGGGATCAAACTCGGGACCTTGTGTTTGGCCCTAACGTATCTTAATGGACTTCAATTTCCTTGCCTCCAGGGACTATCCATCTTAGGCCTCTTGCACCACTGTATTTTACAAAATGCAAACTGATGTGTTTCACAAATTCACAGCTACAGAGGAATGTATACCTCAGAATGACTCATGCCTCCTTTTAATCACACTTTAGATGGTATTTAGATTCGACTTGATATTTAAAGTTAATATGGGGGTTAGGGTAAGGGTCAGTGGTAGAGTGCTTGCCTAATATGTGCAATGTCTTGGATTCACTCTCACCCAGCACCACAAAAACATACCTAAATGGGAGAATTCTGAGCTGTCATGATGGAGGTGAATGTAATTTGTATTTGGGAAGGACATGAATTTGCGGAAGCCAAGAGCAGAATTTATATGATGAAGCCTTAATCCCCAGTAATTTAGAATGTGACTATATTTGGAGGCCAGGACCCTAATCCAATCTGATTAATGTTCTCAGAGGAAATTTGTACACCCATTGAGAAGCCGGGGCCTGCAGGCACACAGAAAAAAACCAAGGGAAAACAGAAATCAGCCACTTACAGGCCAAAGAGAGAGGCTTCAGAAGAAACCTAAACTGCTCATGTCGTGACTAGCTCCAGAACTGAGAAAATCAATTTCTGTCACTTTAGCCACCCACTAGCTGGCATTTTGTTACGGCTGATGGGTGTTGAAGATGGAGTCCCTGTGGTGAGTGATGGGATGTATAGGGTAAATGATGGGAGTATGTGGGGTCAGGCTGGGGGTTCATGAGGTCAGAGATAGAGGGATATGTGGTGATGGGGGTCTGTGAACGCCTAAGTGATGGAGGGGGCCTGTGGGGTTAGCCACAGAGCATCTCTGGGGTTAGTAAATAAAGATCTCTCAATGTTAGAGTGAAGATCTTTTATTTCCTGATTTTAAAAATTGCCACCATCACAGACCTCCTGCCTTCTCTTATATCCTAGTAGCTCCACACAGGCCCTTTTTTCCATCTCCAGCCCTTTTGGTGCTCACCATCAGCCCAAGTGCCCCTCCACCTGTGCAGCAGGACTGGACTCTCCTGGCCTCTCTTCTGGTCCAGAACTCTACTCATTAGCTCCGTTTGGTCTTGGCTTTCATCATCTTAGTGTCCAGTGCACTCTGAGCCCCAAAGAGCTGCTTCATGGAATCAAAAATGAGGATTCCAGGTATCACCAACCACAGGGAATTCATGAAGAAGAAATAAAACCAGAAATAGACGGGGTGGCCCAGCTCCCCATGTTGGAATCCATCGCGGTATTCAGTCAGGAAGTAGAGTGCATCCCCATAGAACTGTCCTGTGAGGGGCAGAAAGGGGAGAAGCCCCAGTGAGGAGGAGGCAGCTCACCCAGACTCCCTACTCTGAGGCATTTCTCAGTCATCCTTCAAGGTCTTTGAGCTCAGGATCCCATACTTGGAGAGCCAAGAATTCTGAAGTCACACAGCTGAAAATTGGAGAAATCAGAAAAGTAAGAATTCCAGAAGGCACAGCACTGACAATTTCTGAACTCAGGAGAGCTCATAGCTCCAGAATTTTTTTT